GATATAGCATCGGTGAATTCAAGAAATCCACTATGCTGTGTGTGTGTTTCAGAGAGAAAGATTACTGATTCTGTGAGACACTGTCTCATTCATTGAAGATAATGTCGTCATTTTAACTCAGAATCCCACTAAAAGTAATAGCTCCCTTCTCGGGATCAAGCTGAACGTTTTGATACCACTTTTGTAGGTGTGCACGCAGGGTACGGGCCGCATTAACGGTGACGGAAGAAAAATAAACTATAATAATAAAGAGACATTCTATTGGGTGTAGAACAACAGGTGCCTGCCATGCGTTGCATAGGGAGAGCAGTGACTCCCATATGCAAGTCTCTGCTCTCCATATGCATTGCTATGGCAGGCCCCAACTAGTTTGGGCTGAACAAGGAGAAGTGATCTCAAAGTCCAGTCCTCAATGGCCAGTGTCCTGCAACTTTTAGATTTCTCTTTGCTTCAGCACCCCTGGTTCCAATATTACTAGCTCATTAGAAGAGCTGTGTAGAGCGTGACTGCATGTTATTGAGGCAGTTTCACTCATTTAACTAAAGCGGGTTGGACAAGGGAGTCATCTAAAGTTGGAGGAATCTGGCCCTTGAGGAAAGCAGTTTGAGGCCACTGCTATCCAGGTTCATATCTCTTAAGGCACCTTCTCTCTGAAGAGGCTTTTAGATGAGGAAGTGGCTGTGTGATTTCTAACCTCACAAAGAGGATGCCGGTACTTCATGTTTTCCTTTCTGTCATCCATCACATTGTTAACCTTGTTAAACACACTTTCCGATGTGAACTGGTTTGTTGCTATGCATGACATGGGTATGTAGGGTTAGCTAGTACACTTCACTGCTCTCCATTAGAGAGAAGAGCTCCTCTCCACTGTACCTCTTTTGGTGAATCTAGTATTGGGTTCCTTTGGTATCGTTCCACCCGTAGAGTTTCTTTCACCTTTCTACATGTCCACAGAAACTGTGCATCATGTCTACTACAAATGTCAGCCAAAGAAGAACAGTGTCCTTTCATTCCTAAAAGCTGTCATATTAAGGATTCACTTAACTGCAGCTTTAGACTGCTGATGTTGTTGCTGTGGCAACAGTAGACCTGAGACAAAGGTTGATTATTAGTATAGAAGAAGAAGACAGGCAGCATATTTGGGATTGAGTGTAGCTGTTATGTCACATGTTGTCGTCCACCGCTAATGCTTCCCTTGGTGCTTATCAGCTCCACAGGATTGAAATGCCAGATGCCTCTCTCCATCTTTGGAAGGAAAACAACAAGAAGCCGAGGCGAGGCAGCACAAATGATTGTACTTTGGGAGGACACTTGTTTCTGTGCCTGCTGAATGTGCAGCCATTACTGCCCACTCTCCCTGCTTCACCATTTCACGGTGACCTGACACCACTCAGTCTGCTCACTCCCGCTGTCTGAAAACGCTATCTTCTATTGTCTTCCCCATCCCTACTGACACATGAATGTTATTTCTTATTACAAGAACAACAGCAACCCTGCAGAGCACATTTAGCATCGGTGAAGGCTGAGCTCGGAGTTACATCCTCATATTTAGTGTTACTTCTTCTTTTTCTCCTATGATAGGTGTTCAAAACTTGATGTCAGCATCATCTGTGATACTATTATTGTCCCCACTTCGTACGAAACAATGAAAGGCTATATTACTGAGATGTACACCAAGAGCAGGGTTCCATCAGTCTATAAGTAATATAGACAGAGATTACAGTGAAATGGTGCCCTGCAGGCAGATTGTGTCTGCATTCATAAAGAAGCTGTTTATCATTTCAGCAGAGAATGGGTGATTCCTTAATCTTCACAGTGACATCACAAAGAAGAACAACACTCAACTACTTTCTGTGTTAAACATTAACACAATCACTGGCAAATGCTTAAGATACATTCACCTTGTACTAGATCTGAGTACTGGCACTGACATGTAGGGACAGATAATAGAGACTTAATATTTTAATACCATATAGGGCATTATTTATTTCAAAAATGATAAAAGTGATAATATCAAGGATTATATTGGTCCATCTATTTTCTATTATTGCTTGTAAAGTGAAAAAAAAAACATTTGATTGTATTATTTTTAAGTACTACTTTTTCTTTTTGATGAATAATTTATGAAATTATAGCTAAATATACCAAGATTCAGTGAAATGAGGTCTTTCATCTATAATTCCAACTTCACCAAGAACTTTTTGGCATTTAGGACCAAAAGGTTCAGCTTCGGTCTCATGTTTGCGGTTTTCCTCTTTGCTCTTTTTATTTTGTAGCACTATTTATACTGAGCTGAAATCACTCATGTAAGTGCATTCTTATTTGCTGAGCCATTTGGTTTCGTTGGGAGTATTGGAGTATCAGGAACTGAAAACGATTTTTTTGTCTTCCACACTTTTCAGATTTTTCTTTTTGCTATACTGTTTCACCAGATCCCATATTGGATCTGGTGAGGAAAGGAACCATTTTAAATATTCCTTTGTTCCCACCCCCTTCAAAATTTAGAATCTAATTTTTAAGTAGATGGTACACTGAGACATGGAAGGTGTATAATAACTTGTTTTGTTGTTTTAAACTGCTGTGTATGTAGTCTAGGTTGTTTACTTTTTTTTCTTTTAGCTGTTTATATTTATGTTGTGTGTATTTATTGTCTATTTCGGCAGCTGCTCCTATGCACTCATATCCTGAAGTCCCCTAGGGGGCAATAAAGTCCATTTTTTTTCTATTCTATTCTGTAAAGCTCCAATGTAATAATCTTCTCTCCCTCTCTACCTCAGGAACTGGGACTTTTGGTCGAGTCTTCCTTGTCAAGGACAAGAAAAGCAAGGCCTTCTTTGCACTAAAACAGATGAAGATTTCTGACGTGATCCGGCTGAAGCAGGAGCAGCACGTCCACAACGAGAAGGAGGTGCTGACAGAAATCAGCCACCCTTTTCTCATCAGGCTGTGAGTCCACTCCCAGCACATCACATCTCAGGCAAACTGCTTCATGAACAAAGCAGCAGCTGGAGTACAGTCCGATGGAACACATAATGAAGAATTCTAAAACATTTTTGCACCAATACAAAATCAGCTGCGATCATAACTATTGATACACCAATCCACTTTTTAAATGTATGATACAGATATCTGAGGTTCAGTGTCGGCCGACACCACTTCAATATTTTTATCTGATGTGATGTATTTTTTTAAAGTCAGATATAAATGTACAGGACTACACATTTATTTAACTCTGCACCAGTACAACACACTTAAATACATTAATAGCTTCACAAGCTAACAAAGTAGAAACAACAACTTTAATTTGTTCAGTCAGTGCAATTAGGAGTATAACAGCCAATATCAATTAAATAATAAAGAAACTGACTGAAACTGCCTACCTTGGTCAAACATGAAAACATAAACCAACACACTTTTTTTCAAATGGCTCAGAAAGTGCAGTTAGAAATTCTAAATGTAATGTAAAATAAATAAATAATAAAATCATGATGTCAGACAGAATACGAAGCATAGAATTAGACTGAATAGATTTGCCCTTATGGATGGGGCACATTGTCACGATACCCCATCTACACTGTTTTCAGTTATCGGGACCAATACAGTTATTAATATCAGGTCGCTGCATCTCTGGTCAGAACATGGGCAATTTTCACTGCAGATGACAGGTTGTGTCCTTATGAACAAATGTATTTGGTGCTCTGTGTTACCTGGTGCTAAGATGACTTGTCTGCATCAGACATGACAGTTTGTCAGAAGTTTTTTTTTTTTTTTTTTTTTTTAGGAGTTAACATTTGGTTAGGTCATTTTATGCTGCATAGAGTTGAGAGCTGTTATCTATTTCCTCCTCCACAGTTGGGTGTAACCCTCTGATCTAATCTGATTTCATCTCTCATCAGACAGCACTTTACCCCCTAACTGCATAATCAGCCTTGACATTTTCCGACAGCTTCTGGACTCACCATGACGATCGCTTCCTCTACATGCTGATGGACTACGTCCCAGGTGGAGAGCTCTTCAGCTACCTACGCAGTCGCGGGCGATTCAGCAATGCCACAGGCCTCTTCTACACCTCTGAGATTGTATGCGCCATTGAGTACCTTCACTCTAAAGAAATAGTCTACAGAGACCTGAAGCCTGAGAACATCCTGCTGGACAGTGAGGGACATATCCGCCTTACTGACTTTGGCTTTGCTAAGAAGCTATCTGATAGGTAAGAGACATAAAGAATCCATATATGTATAAAATAATAAAGAATGTCATCAGCAGGTGGTGATCTTTGGTTTAGAAGAAGGTCTCATGTGATGGGTTAACTGGGTAAATTATCTTATTTTTCACTCCTCCTGATGATATTCTTATATGAAAAACTTTACAGAACAGTAAGCTAAGGTCAACCTGCTTCCTCTGTGTTTCAATAGGACTTACTAAAAGTTCTACTAAAACACAGAGCACAACTGAATGTTGTGCTGCACACAACATTCAGTTATTCTCACACACACACACACACACACACACACACATTTGCATACTGATGGTGGCATGCCACTGGACTGTAGCTCCAACTCCGGGGCAAACTCTACCACCATCACCATCAAAAAATCACAATAATCTGAGAAGTAGTCATAGTCATAGTAGCCCTTCCAGTTGATCCTCATGCAGTTTTGATACGTTTGAAACCTGGTTTTAATATTTCATAGGTCTGGATGAGAAAACAAAAAATTAAGTTATGAAAAACCATAACATCTAAATATCTGACTTTGTTTCAGTTGTTGACTATTTTGGTTTTTGAATTGGATTCTAAACCAGACAGGGACATTTCATTGCTTTTATGATCTCTCGATTCCTTATATTTCAGGTTTTTTAAATACACAAGCTTTTTGACTTGGGTTTGGTTTGGCCATACATGTTTTTTTTTTTTTTTTTTTTATTAAAGGCATATTAATGCATATTAATGTTTACACTGGGTGAGTGAGGAGGCTGGGAAACAGCTGGCTTATTAGTGAAAACCCTGATTTGTTTGATCAGCAAAATGTTGTGCTTGACAAACAACCCAGTGTTTGCAGTCTATCTGGCACATTTACAAGTGTGATGAATATGTATATTGGAGGTGGGCGATATGGACTTGAAGTGTTATGACAAACTTTTGTGGCATTATTATGATAACAATAAGTGACTACGAAGTAGCTACTTCTTTTTCAGGTAAGTGCATGGCTGTGACTGCAATCATAGCCCCACCAACACTAATAATGCTCTTGAAAAACACAAGTCACAGAAGTGACATGTTATGTGCTTCTTTCCTAAAGAAGTGCTATTTGTATCACTAAACTGCACACAGGCAAATCAATGTTTATTGATGCCTTCATTGAACAAACAGTGGAGAAAATAGCAAAACTAATAATCCGAACAGAATCCCAAACCTTCATTAATTGGAATTTATAAGGAAATACTTTAATTTTTACCATAATAAGAAATTTATCAAGATAAATGATAAAAAGATATATCAATATTTTTCTGTTTGCTAAATGGTAGAGATTTATTTTTACGTCTAATGCCAACGTTTTCAGAAATGTTGCCAGTATTTGGTACAATTGTTGGATTTGGTTGCCCTTAAGTCATTTTGTGACTAATCTGGTTGTATGCTGAAGGACATTATCCACTTGAAAGTCACATTTATTTTCAGAGTTTTGCTTCCTGGCTGATGAAGTGTACCAATCCCTTGTGCAGTATGAGGCTTCCACCTCCGTTCTTCATCGTTAGGTTGGCGTTTTGAGGCGACAGAAGCTTATGAAGTCATGAAAACATCACCTGGGTTGTCCTGGACAGTGAGAAAAAAAAAAGAAATAGTGTGTTATTTCATCTTGCATGTAAAAAGACCAGAGTTTGGAGGCTGAAGTCTTCTGTCATACTGGACGGCATCACTGCAGTTGTCAGAGTAGTTGAGTCAAGGTTGTTACCAGCAACAAGACAGCATGTGAAAGCTTCCTTTGTTGCTGCTTTTCATACATCACTTCTGAATATAGTGTCCTCACAGAATGGCTCTATTCACTCTGAATGCTTGGTCGACATTGTTACTCTGTCTTTAACACCGAACATAGTTCTGTATGTAACCCTTCATCCACTGTCAGTTTACATCACCACTCAGATACAGCAGGGCTTGCAAAGGGTAACTGGGAGGATCAGTAGGTGGAACAAAAGGTATAAGGAGGAGTGTGTGACTGTGTGTAGGGTGAGGACAGATAGCTGACTGTTTTAGTACACAGAGATGTTACTGGATTGTGACACAGCCTTTCTCAGCTCTCCATCAGCAGTGTGTGGGGCAGCTGATGAATGCCAACTGAGGTTACTCAGTTCTCGGCTCAGGGTGTTGGAAGTCTGATTGATTGTCAGTAGAAAGCAGCAGCAGCAGCTGTCATCGTCACCCAGTTTGTTCTCATTCTTTACATTTTTCTCAAGTTGCACTAGCCAGAATGTCTTCAGTCATATGAATGCTGTGGAGACACTAAAAAGGAAGGCGGTGAACTTAAAAGAAGTGCATAAGGAAGGTTGTGTGTTTTAGACTCGAGGTTGCCAAGTACAATCAGCAGTTTCCTGCTATTATTTAAAGGGCAAGTACTATTATAGGACCAGAAAAGGTAAAAATCTTGAAAATATAAAATATTCACTGACCTGACATTTAATCAAACTAAACCTTCCTGTTTTAGATCATTTAGGAAAATCAATCATGTCCAATGAATGCCACAATGAGAAAGAATGTTATATAACTTTCTAGAAATATGCAAGTTTAGATATGCTATAATAAATATTCCTTTAAGCATGTTGGGGAAGCTCATGTCTTTGTGACCTGTTTAATTCACAACATTTGAGTTAAATGGAGGTCAACCTGTGACTGTATTTTATGCAGCAACTCAAATAAAGTTAAAACTGTTATGTTGTGTTCAGGCATATTGACGATTGTTACATTTGGAGTAAAAACGTTGAAGCTTGCAAGCCTCAAGACACCACCCCAACTGTTAAACACGGTGGTGGCAGCAACATGTTTTGAGATGTTATTCTGTTGCCCTTTACAAAGTAAATGGCATCATGAGAAAAGATAATTGAATGAAAATATAAAAACAACTTAAGACATCAGCCACGATTTCAAAGCTTAGACAGTAATTGGTCTTCCAAAACGACAATAAGCATCAGCATATGTCCAAGTTAGCTACAAATGACTTAAGGACAACAAAGTCAATGTTTTGGAGTGACCATCACCGTCACTCTGACTCTGTATGTCTGTTGGCACATGTTTGACTCTGCAGCTTGACAAAACCAGCCAATCACAAACAGGTCTTTTTTTCATATCAATGTGTTCCTTGCAAATATTGTATTTGTTTGGACTATGTTTCTTTTAATATCTTTTGCTTTTAAATGTGAGCTTGCTTACATAGCTTGCTTTAAGATTCACTGTCTGCTGACTTAATTAGGATTTAACTAACATGCAAAAACAATATTTATTTTAATTATATTTTGTACAATTTGACTCTATTGTTGGTGTTTAAGTATCATCAATAATGTGTTCCAATAACATAAATGTTATCAAGCTAAGAAGAGAAACAACAGCCCTTTGAAAATGTGGATGTATTTAATCATTTCAGATTCTCATCAGCTACGTTCTAGAAACACTGAATGTGTTGAGTTCTCATTATAAAATAGATGCCATCAGACTTGCTGTCTCAGCCAACTTCCACTCCATCAATATCAGTTATAAGTTCCCTTGAAATACAGCCAAAGTTTCAGCTTAAAGTGATTTATGGGGCTTTTCTACTATTTGTCACATTTAACAGAGCAGTGAATATCTGTCTCTGCTTCTGCTTCAGTTCCAAGCATCTTGTGTCTTCTCTTCAAACAAGTTCCCTCAGAATGTGGAGCAGATGTTGTCGGGAGTGATGGTAGCTTAGGAGGGAGGAGTTCATCCTGTAACCAGTGGATTGGGTCGTGGACAAGACACTTAAAAAAGGCAGCCTGTAATTTTTGTTAAGTATTTACTGTAGAAAATTGTTGTCCTTTCAATGAACCAACATCTTGTCTTTGTTGTTAGATTTTATATTAAAACAACACAAAACTTTTGCCAGAAATATGGATACATTTTCTTTCATGGGATGTTGCTTTGGGAAACATTATACATACAAAAGCACATAGTTCCTGATCTGATGTTTTTGAACAGCTCTACAGGTTTGTATGGAATAAACCAAAATACCTGCTGAGAGGTGCAGAAGTCTCATTGACAGTTACCAGAATTATTTGATTGCAGTGATTGCCTCAAAAGGTTGTGCAACAAAATATTAAGTTAAGGGTACCATCATTTTTGTTCAGGCCTGTTTCATGAGTTTATTTTTTAAATCATTTTGTTGAAGCATGCTAGAAAAGCGATGCAAGTGTCTTGTGTTCACTATCATAAAATTTGTATTATTTTTATTATTACCTTTGTCAGATTCAAGTTATTTCTGTGACCGTTGTAGGTTTTTCTTTCATTAACCGAGGGGTACCAACAATATTGTCCACGTGTGTAATACTGGTAATCTAAGTGACAGGATTTTATGCACAAATTATTCTTGCTTCAATATAAACTGATGGAATTTGAAACGGTTTGGAACTTTATAGAATTGTTTTAAGTAAATGTACTATTTGTTTACGCTGTTTTTCTCTTATCAGTCACATAATCTAAACAGAATCTCTAAACTGTTTGAATAGAAAAATTGGTTCTGAATTGAATCGTGACTAAAACTCAAAATCAAATTGCTAGACACTTACAGATTCAGATCTGTGAGAGGAGATATTGGTACACAGCTCCACCAGTTGCAGAAAAAAGGCGTCTTCAGGATTCTGTCTGCTGCAGGTCAGCTTGATCTACAAGCTTCCGCTGCTTTGGATCAACTGGTGCCACAGGATGAAAACTCCTCCAGCACTATGAATATTTTCATTAATCTTCTCAAGACATGAATCAGGTTGAAATCATAATATGTTTTTAAATTGAAGTGGTCTGTAGTTTGTGTTCAGTGTCCTTGAAAACGATCCTCTCCAGCAAACACTCAGCCATGTCACTTCAGGACAAACTCATGTCATTAGGTAAATTAGAGGAAGAATGAGTGTGGCCTCATCACAGGAGAAAAGATTCACAGGGGAGCAGATGAGACGGTGCACTGACCCCAGCTGACATGTAAACATAATGGAGTAAGATTACATTTTCTACCAGACCGGGGGAGCAAACAGATGGGGAGTAGATAACTTTCTGATGTTCAAGTGACCCACTTATATAAATGGAGGGCAGCAGAAGAGCCATAGAGAGGAGGAACACCTGGAGGAGGCAATTCAGTGCTGCCACAGTGACCCCTGCTGGCAGACTGCTGGCACCATGCTAAACAGCCTCAGCTCATTCGTGTCTCATTTCGGCCCAGCCCACACCCACACTTTATTCCCCATGACATCAGCAGCCCCCCTCATCCTTCACCAGGACCAGCATTATTTCCATGCAAATTACCGTCACCATGGCAACTAGCCAAAAGAGGTCATTACCCAGGTGATATTGGTGGCAGACGATGAAGGGCTGGCACAGGGCCAAGTGCTCTTCATCAGAGGAGCAGCCGCTTTCACAGAGAGCCCTGCATGTTTGTTCTGCATGCACAGCTCCTGTCAGCAGCACATCATCCACTTCAGATTTCCCTGTTTTCCTCCCTCCTCACGCCTGCCAGACATGCTTCAGTTGTTGTTCACTACTTGTTTTGCCTCCTACATTCATTTGTGTTTCATTGTGAGAAGCCCCAGACCTGTTTACTCCCACCATGGCTGAGGTCCTACTGGTCTCATGGTGTTGGAGCATGTGGTGGAGCCAGGTCACATGGAACAGGCAGGAGTGTGGTGTTCACAGGACCATAGAACAGGACCACAGAGAGAGCTTCCATTGATCACAAGGATCTCTTATATTCTTGACAATATGGACAGATGGAGAGTTAAAGTGGAGCAGGAAGAGCCAATGAGATTGATTAGCAGTGCTTGCCAACAACTGTTTCTGTCATCCAGGACAGATGACAGAATATTGGAATATTTTCTCTGAATATTGAGGTGTTAAAATGTTACAACAGGGTCATGAAGCAACAGTGTTTAGCCAAAGGCCTCTTCAGATTTGTTGCAAGACTAGCTGCATTTCCATTGTGCCCAAAATGTTGTCGATATTCCGCTATTGTCAAAAAATTCGTAATTTCACAGCTGCAGTGTTTCCATTAAATAAAACCAATTAAAATTACATGTGAATAAGTTTGTTCACTCGATGAGTTATTAAAAGCATGCCGAGCCATCATCCAAAACAACTCTGTTTATGAATTGATTTTTTTTTTTTTTTTGTACAAATTACTACCTCTATCAAGCAGCACTGTTTGCTTTTGTTTGTGTTGTGGTTCTGAATAAATCATAGCAGTCAACATCTGAATCAACTGGTCAGACTTCAAAGAAAACTGAAAATCTTTGTTGATACAGAAAACCTTTTGAAATGTGCAGGCATTAATTTCCAGCGTAAGAGAAAAATTTCTATATTTTCTACCTTAATTGTGATACAGCTCGCCCTCAAAACTCTGCACTCACATTCTGAATCCTGCTTGTCCACAGATCCTTAGTTCTGTGATCATATTGAATCCCTCTCTCACAGAAACATCATTTTGAAGGATAGCAGAGAATATCTGCAAACATGCTGGGGTTTTATGAGCGACAGCACAGCTTTCAAAGCAAGCAATAAGAAAGTATGCTTCTAAATTTTAAAGGAATCTTTCCCCCAGTGACGTGCGGTGAGGTTCATTGCTGGTGAGGCACTGACTTATGACTTAGACACCACACAT